CCCCAAAACCCCAAAACCCCAAAACCCCAAAACCCCAGATTATATAAAATCCATTGAAAATGAGCACTAGGAATTTTACTCAGAAGAAATGGTAACCGAATAAAAGTAAGACAGATCCTCATTGTTGTAGTACTTGACATTGAAGTGCTTTGAGTCCACTTCGAAGATAGCCAAGCCACTATTTTCAACATTTTGGATATATACATGCCCATCTTGGTCTTTGTATGGACAAATCTTTCTTAATTTCTTCCCACTGGCACCTATCATGAACTGATGGAGCTTTTCGCCTTTCTTAAAATATTGGTCTCTTGACTCAGTGTTCATGATTTCTTTAACTATCTTCCCATCACAGTCATCTAGTACCGGCCCTCTATCACTGCCAGGAAACCTGATTCCTTCATCATAGCCAATATTTGTGTAATCAAACTGGTGTTTGTGGCCTGTTAAGTAGAAATCTACTTTATATTTCTGAACAAGAGGAAGTAAATCCTGCTTCAGAGAAGCTTCACGGATTGTTGGATGATGTCCTGCAATTCCTAGCCAGGCAACATCGGGATCCTTGGAATATTTCTTCAGTTTATTTTCCAGCCATTGGTAATGAATCTGGACAGATTCTTCGCCTATTTCGACATTCATTTCATCTCAGTCTGAGCCAGTGTCTCCTAGCGGCAAGTCGAAAGAAGTGTTGCATGCGAGCAAGCAGGTATTAGTCATGAGTATGACAAGATATTTCGAGGGATCATCTTTAAGGTTGTACTTGAGTTCATAATAATCAGACTCCATCTCCCATTGTTTGTTGTAATCACTGTATAGAATTTGGTTATAGTAATCACTGAAACAGTCGTGATTGCCCAAGATGGGAAACATTTTGAGGTCCCTGATATTGTCCTTCTGGAAAAAGCTCATGATATTATCAGGAAGGTCCAGATCGTCCATAGATTCTATCCCGTCAGGGTAAAAATTATCACCAACGGTGAGAATGAAGTCATAAGTATCTTGTGCAGCAAGTTGGCTCATGATGTCAGTCATTCCATCGATATTTTCTTTATGCTTGTAATCTCCGAAATCCCCTACCATGAAAAATTTTTGGACTTGTTCTTTTGAGTAATCTGGAGCTAAATCGTCAGTTTTTGGCCTGATAATATCAAGATTCTCTTTCAATTGATCCTGCAACAGGTTATGCTCAGATCCTGCACAGAGAGATAGCCCCACAAATAGTGGTAACAATTTAAGAAACATTATAAATACCTTTCAATACTTTTGGGAATACAGGGGTTTTGGGGTTTTGGGGTTTTGGGGTTTTGGGGTTTTGGGG